TAGACTCAGAAATCCCTTGGTGCCCAGGGAAACAGTATTGACTTATAATAAAAGCTTAGAAGATCAATGAGGTAAATGATTTGAAAACAGATGGAATGGCCCATTTAAAGTGAAAAAACAGCTTGAGGGTGGATCTTATATTCTGGAGGAATTGGATGGTGTGGAATTAAAAAGAGCTTATGCTGCCTCTCATATCAAGAGGTTTTATTCCAGAGGAAGGGACTTGGGGGAAATAAGGGCAGATGAGGAAAATTCAGATTCAGACTCAGACTTCCATTCATCTTCAGATTCAGCATCAGATCAAAACTCAGAAAATAATGATACCAACTCAGATTCAGACATGGATTGAAATTCTTCATATTTTTTATCTTATTTATCTTAGAAATTTTCATTTTTATCTCATTTTATCTTCATCAGTTTCATTTTGACTTTATTTCAAAAAAAAAGAAAAAAAAAAATCCAAGTATAACTCATTAAATACCAAAAACATCTCAGTTTCTTACTCAATTTTGATAAGTTGGGGGAGGAGACTCATCTCTTATGAAACTCAATCTTGAAACAAGTTTTTTTTTTTTCTTCTCTTAGGAATGGTTGAGGACAACCATTTTATAAGTTGGGGGAGGGGGTTTCTTTGTCTTTTCATTATCACATTTCAAAATTTAAATTCTGTTACTCTGTAACTCTTATATCAAGAATTTCTAGATAAAACCTTACTTGATTCTTTTGGTTGGCTATTTTAGGAGGACATTGCTTAAAAACCAGTTGGATAAGATTGAAGGTTTTTTTTTCACTTCTTTTATCTTAGAAAACAACATCATTGAGGGGGAGAAGCAAAATCACTTGGAAAGAATCGGGCCAACAGCGATGACAGGATTACAATAGATAAAACAACCAGAAGCAAAATCCAACAAAGTGACAGTCAAAACTATCGATCCATCCAATTTTTTTGGAAATGCAAACATCAGGAGGCAAATCGAGTAGGGCGATCAATTCAAAGCAAGTAGGAGCGAGGAGAGACGGAAGCAAAGGAGAGATTGATGGGATAGGGAGAAGGAAAGGATGATTGATCAAGTAGTAGAGGGAGGAGGTGAGATGAAGCTGCTGATGGAAGGGAACAATTGATCAATGGAGAAAGGAGCAATAGAGAAGAACAAACGATCAAGCAATAGAGGAGGAGAAAATGATATATTTATAGAGACAAGAGAAGAAGACGGTCGATGGAGGGGATGGTTGAGGATGTAGAGGGAAGGTATGATGATGATGGAACTGGGGAAGAAGAGACAAAGTGAACGATAGGTCCTTTACATACTGAAGAATTAGAAACTACAGGACGAAGTCGCACAGGTAGGATGGGAAGAAAACAATCGGTGATGAGATTCTTGGATTGATGAAGGTTCAATCAACTTACTAGCGGATTTGGTGGATCAAAGGAGCAAGCAAAGGCGGGTTCCTTGCGTCAAGCCGGATATCTGAGACTAAGACACTAGAGAAATGTGGACAAAGCTGTGAATGCGACTGAAAGACATGGCAGAAAAGTGAGGGGGTACTTGCTTGAGACAAAGATCCAATAATAATTGCCTAGTCGTCTAGGATAGAGGAGGATTGTCAAGGGTTCCCTTTGGGTAATGAAGAGGCTCGAGGCGGTTCAATCGATGGCAAGTACCTGGTTTTTGGGGGATTTGTTGAATAAATACAACGAGTACAATGTTATGCTACCGGTGTGGTGAGATTAATCAAACCCATAGCCGTAATTAAAACCACCTTATTACACATAAATAGTGATTAAAACATTGGAGGAGAAGAGGTAGATTAGGGAATAAACCACATAAATATTACTGGGCTAAATTGTAGTTTAATTAAATCACAAACTAGGCCTAAGATATTTAATTTCTCATGGATAAAAATTATACAAATAACCTGTAGAACTATATTACATTCATCTTAGACTAGTAAATCAAGCTACTGATCAGAAAGTACTTCGCAGACTAGCTCTAGAAAATAACTCTTATACTAATTAGTCTAAAAATACCATTCTCATAGCAATTAATCTACAAATAGGCCTCATATAGTAGATTTACAGCCTCTTGTATTAGAAAGGTACTTAGAGACTAATTCATATCAGATTAGGCCATCTCAGGGTAGAAAAATCCACTCTAGAAGTACCCTTCTCAGACGCACTTGTGTTCAGGCCAAAATCTCATGTGCTGCAGGACTATTTTGTCTATAAATAGAGGCTCTTCTGGCCCATGTTTTCTTCTTCCTTCCTCATGCTAGCTACAGAATAGTTATCAGAGATATTACTCAGCTTTCATCACCCCTTGAATAAAGAGATCCAGAGATATTAGAGCCCTTTGAACTTCCCTTACCTCAATTTTGGCCATAGAAAAGTAATTCAGAAATATTGCTTAGCCATTCTCACCTCTTTGAAAGATATTAGAGAAATAAACGTACCATTTATCAGAGCCCAGAGAAACCAGAGAGTCTTATTAGATCAGAGAACCAGAGAGAATTTTATAACAGATTTAACAGAGAAACCCTTCAGAAACCCTTATTACTCAGAAAAAAAAAACCACAAACTCCTTACCTCTTCAACAGGTATTCTTAAGCAACAATAAAAGTAGTATCAACACTAAGATAAATTTTGAAATAAGCCACACTCTTATTTTTCTTAGTGTAACTTTCCTGCAAGCTAGACAGGAGGGCAGTCTCACCCACACACCAATACTAATTCTACTATTTCATAGTCTTATTAGCTATTTTATCCCCTCCAAGCTCTTTACTCACTTGCTGAGCAGTTCCACACCGGGCCGAGTTTGAAAGGTAGTACAAGAAGCTGGTAGACTGGTCAACAAAGAGGCCGGAAATTGCTGAACCAGATGGCAGTGCGGCCAGTTTATGAGAAAATCTACAGAGATGAAACCAAAATCATTAGTGCGGGGTAAACAAACACAGCAATAGAAGAGAAAAAATTACAAATTTGAGGAGATACAAGTCGAGAAGATTGACAAGAAGATTGCTGAGAAGATCGATCAAGAGGGGAATGGTGGGCTGGATAGTGCAGGAAAGGATAGGGGACAGGCCCTGGGGCTTGAGGCCAATAAAAAAAAATGAAAAATAAAAAAAAATAAAGATAAAAAAGTCTTATGTAGGGCTTGGAGGAACCCCTCCCAAGGAGCTGGTATACAGACCAGCTCGTTGGAAGGGATTCCTTTGGAAGAGCTGGTCTGTAAACCGGCTTGCCAGGAGGGGTTCCTCCCGACAAGCTGGTGTGCAGGACAGGTGTCCTGCACTTTTTCTTTCTTTGTTTCTTTTTCTTTTTTCTTTGTTTTTCTGGCGTGCTGATTTTGGGGTGCAGTCCTGCACTCCCCTCTGGGAGTGAGTGCGAGCAGGGGGGTTGATAAGCGCAAGCCAACCCCCCTTGCGCACACCAATCTGCACGCCACTTGCAGATTGGCGTGCAGGCCTGCACGCCAATCTGCTGCAAGGTTGATTGGCTTCCAGGTCCTCAACCCATATTAATATGGGTTTAGGACAAGGGCTATCCCATAGGACCCAGGCATGGGTTCTATGGGATAGCCTATGTAGTGTTTGAAAAAAAAAAACATGTCGATCCTTGTAGGACACCGGCCGGTGTCCTACAAGGTCAACAAGGCCCATTGCCGGCCAGGAGGATTCCCTCCTGGCTGGCAAGGTTGTACAACCTTGCCGGCATTCCCTCCTGGCGGCGAGGTTGTACAACCTTGTCGACCAGGAGGAGGGAATCCTGGCCGGCGAGGCTGTACAACCTTGTTGACCAGGTGGGAATCCTCCTGGCGGCGAGGTTGTACAACCTCGCTGCCAGGAGGGGATAGTCTCAAGGCCAAGAGGGATTCCTCTCGGCCTTGAGCCATGTACAGTCTCAAGGCCGGGAGGGGTTCCTCCCGGCCGTGAGACTGGACAGTCTTTCGGCTGGGAGGGGTTCCTCCCAGCCCAAAAACTTTTTTTTTGCCTTTTTTGCACTTTCTCTATGGGCTATTCCATAGGACCCATGCCTGGGTCCTATGGGATAGCCCCAGTCCTAAACCCATATTTATATGGTTTAGGACCCAGATTGGCGTGCAGTTTGGCGTGCTCAAGGGGGGATGGTGTGCACTTATCATTCCCCTGCGAGCAGGGGGGGGGGAGTGTGGTTATCACTCCCCCTCTACCAGCACCAATCACAACAGTGGTGTACCAAAGCCGACGGCTGCTGAGTAAGATCAAGGTAGGATTGGATGGGCCTGGAAGGCTGATCAGGCCTCGTAGGAGGGGGTAAGTGACAGATTGCTAATTATAATGAACAGGGCCGTTTTGCGTACAGCTGTTCCCAAAAACCTTGCGGTTTGGGGAGCGCTGTATTTCAGAAGAAAATTTTTTTGCGCCTCTCTTTTTAGCGCCGCTCTCTCCTGTACGTGGCCCTGTATGGCCCCAGTACTGCAGGCAAGAGTACCCAACTCCCTCATTTTTTGAGTTGAGGGTATGGGAGTTGGATCATCGTGATCCTCTCGATTTTTTGGTTCGGAGCCGGTCCTGAGGTAGGGGCTTGCCCTTCCCTGCCTGGCAGCTGGCAGGCATCCGGACCCACACCAGGGCCTCGGCAGCCAGATCACAACCTGTACCGTCATCTGTACAGGCCGTGAGGCGCTAAAAGTTGGTGGCGCTAAAAATTTTCTTCGCAAATACAGCGCTCCCGAAACCGCAAGGTTTTTGGGAACAGCTGTAAGCTAAAATCATTGAGCAAAATATCTGGTTAGTGCTGAGTGATGATGATGGGGAGGTTAGAGTTATATGTTCGATTAGGATTGACGTGCTAGGATAGGATCTCGTCGGTCTGTTCTTTGGTTGCTGTTGTTGGCAGCTGGCTCTGTAGTGGGTTCCTGGTGAGGCAGCTGCCGTTGGATGGGTGTGCTCTGGCTTGGGGTTCCGTCGGAAGTTGGGTTCACAGTTCTCTAGTCAGCAGCATGATGAGCCTGAGCCCCACAATGGCCATGGCCATTGATGGTCTTAGTGGAGTGTTGGATACCTCTGTCGAGTCTGGCCATGAGGAAGCCATGGGGAGACAGTCGAAGTTAAAAAGCTGGCTTGGCCAGGCTGAAGCAGATCCACCACCGCACATCCAGTATCTGTCCAACCCTGACCCTTACAACCAACCATCTGTATCACATAACCTCTTTTATCCCATGCCAAATTTCACCGTGGCTGCCCCAGATGCCAAATTTCATTTGACTTGATTTAGGATCCATCTACGGTATAGTATGGGGCTTGGACAAACTTGATCGACCGGATCCTAAGAATCTTGAGAACCGCTTTGGACGAAGCATCCAGTTGCTTTGCCGGCTGATTCCTTCCCCATGTTTATGACTGACAGAATGTCATTTAAGTCGCACCCTGTCCCAAACAATAAAGCCATTCGCAACCTGAGCCTCTCCTGGTAAGGTAGTACCTCGGAGAGGTGATCTTGCTACAAAGTTTCCCGCAAAATCGTCTCTAAACGAATGGGATCCCGCCCTGACAGCGAGAAGCTTCCAGGAACGCCAATCATCGAAACTAGCTTCTATCCCTGCTCTCTAATAATTAGAGTGCGCCCAGGGCCATCCGCTCCTCTTAGATATATATTTTCTTCTCACGATCCATTGTGATG